TCTCTGCCACTTATTTATTTATTTATTTATTTTTTTTTACTCGTCGTGGCCTCGGGAGGGTTTAGTTTCTTTATCGAGCTCCAATCGCAAACGGTCTCGTTGTTTTTCAGCTGCTCAGACCGTGCACTGAGCTCCACCGCCTTCAACGCCAAACAAATAGTTTTTCTGACGTACTTCTGCAACTTTCACTTTTATTGGCTTCTCGTGCTTGCGTTCTTTTTTTTCTGTTTGTTTTTTCTCTATTTAATTTAGAGTGCGTTTTCAGATTTCATAAATAAGTTTGCGATGTAGCAGCTGTATTTGATTTACAGTGTTTGTGGCTTCGATAACGTTTTGGGAAACTTCAATTTGATACTGAACTAGAGGCACTAATTTTCTTTAGAGACCACTGAGCTTCCTCCAGCACTTAACTACAGCTAATCTAGTCTGCTGGGTCTTAAATCTGTTGAAATAATTGTAGATCGCTTTTCTTTCGTTAATGCCTGTTGTGGTTACTTCCCTTTTAGGTGGCCATGGCTACAGGACAGGTGCTGTTTCAACGTTTTTTTTATACCAAGTCCTTTGTGAAGCATTCCATGGAGGTGAGAACATGTTAAAAGCTACATACGCGTGCAAATGTTATTTAAGTTATTGGCAAGTTGTCATCTTCGATGTGATCAGAGGGTTCGTAACTAGCCTGTAGATTTTACTTATCCATTAACATGATTTGATGAAGCTACGTAGCGCTGATTTTGTCACATTTGTAGCGTTTCCTTGTTTTCCCACTGTTTTCTCTTCTTGTCCCTCCTTAAGCTGTTGGAGGCAGTCAGTTCCTGATTTGAGCAAAACGTCAGTATCTCGCAATTCTTGTATTTCAGCACGTGTCAATGGCCTGTGTTCACCTGGCATCCAAAATTGAAGAAGCACCAAGGCGCATAAGAGATGTCATCAACGTGTTCCATCGCCTTCGACATCTACGGGAAAAAAAGTAAGCTTAGACTTTGAAATGATCCGTGTTGTATTTTAATTATTAAACTTCTGGGCCGATGATAGTGTCATTCCCCGTTTCATAAATCAGGGAACATCTCGAAGAGATCTCGTGAAGGAGAAAAGTGAGTTGACCCATTTTACTAATAAATGTTTGCGGTGTTATGAGTAGTGGTGGCTCTTATTTTCACACGAGCACAGCGTAACCTGCGTATGAATCCTCTTTGAGACCGAGATTATCTTCTTCAGCATCCAAAATTGTCTTGCAGAAAACCTGTGCCTCTCATACTGGATCAAGAATACGTGAACTTGAAGAATCAAATTATTAAGGCAGAAAGAAGAGTGCTGAAGGAGTTGGGATTTTGTGTTCATGTAAAGCACCCTCACAAGGTTTGTACTGTATATGTTAACTTTATAATTGCTGTTTCGTACGCTGTGAGTGCTTTGAGCAGACCCCTGAGCTACGTGGAGGCTGCACGGTTTGTACGTGGTAGTGCCGGTGAATTTGGAAAAGCCAGCTTCCTGTGATCCCTGTGCTTTCCTTCTCTTTTAAGAGATTCTTCCTGGGACGGCTGGAGGTGGATGCAGATGCTAAGTATTCCTTGAAGTCAGATTATCTAAGTAGGTGGCTCTGGCATTAGAAAACGTCAGCTAAACATAGACTTTTAAGCAGAAAGGAATTTGGAGGCCTGGGGTTGTGACGGCCCGTTAACAGAAACCCCGTGTGACACGTGCAAACACACTGAGCCCGTGTGAGCTGGCAGCAGTGTCTCTTACGTTCTAAAAAGTACCCTCAGGTGTGAAGGGCTTTGACTAGAAATGAGAACGTTCTCAATATTTTAAGTCTGATGTGTCAGACTGGGCTGGTACTTGAAAGATGCAACTACTGCAAACGTTTCAGTTGGCACTGAAAAAAAAGCAACCTAGAACTGAATAAACCGGCGACACACACTGTGTGAGCTCTGTGCTGTGCAAATACTGTTGAACTTGTGTTAGTGCTCGTTGCAGCTAGCGTGACTTTCCCCCAAGTTCCAGCTAAAAGGAACCATGAGTTGTGTAGGAGAACAGACCTAGCTTGAAAGCAGTGGAAGACAAGACCTCTAGGTGAATAGCACGATGCCCGAGCTCAGAAGACGGAGAGCTGGGAAGGTCAGATGGAGTTGAGTCTCCAGCCGTTGCGCTGGAGAGCAGAGTCCAGGAGGAGAAATGCCGGGGGTGTTGCCAACACTCTCGTGTACTGTTTTAGAGCTTGAAAGAGAGTCACAGATGCCTCGTGGATGTCCCTCTGAAATAAATAGTTGGCTCTCAAGATTCTTGTTAATAACTCGATAACCCGTATCTTCCAGATAATCGTTATGTACCTTCAGGTATTAGAATGTGAACGTAACCAACACCTGGTCCAGACGTCATGGTAAGTTGATTTTCTTTGTTACGAGAGACCAGCAGGGGCAGTAGCAGAAATATGTCACTTGAGGCACTCTGGGCAGCATTGCGCAGGAATGATTGTGGGCCACGCCAGGCAGCTCCAGTGTTTCTTGGCGTGCCCCAAACTACTCCCCAAATGTTGATCGGCCTCTTAAGTTAGAGGCGCTGTTTTAATGGTAACGTAGCTTTCCACCCTGACTTCTCACTTCCCTCCTCTCCGCTTTCACTTTTCAGCTGAAGGGAGAATGTTGAGCGGGTTATAGAACTTCCTTGGGGCTTTTTGTTCTTCAGAGAAAACCGATGTGTAGTTCAAGTCTGTCACCAGTGCTGGGAAATGGCTTTTCCCTGAGTTTGAGTTTGATTACAGGTGTATCAAAAACTCAGCACAGATAAATACCTTTTATCTGTATGGATAGTGCAAGATGTCAGCTTCAAAGGCTGGATAAACTCAGTATTTTTGTGTTTGCCAAGAAATGTTCTCTCCTTTGTTGCTGTCATTACAGCAAAGACTTGCTTGGGGATGGGAAGTTTATGTAAAATTCCAGGTCTTAATGAACAGATAACGCTTTTTAACAATACTGTAGTTTAAAAAACCTTTAGTGAATTGAAAGATCATATTTCTGCTGACTGAACTGTCTGGTACTATGAGCTGTGTATAGAGAACCAGTTTTGACTTTTCTTTTCTGTACTCTTTTGATCAAAGGGTAGCCTCTGAGGGTAAGTGACTAAGACTTCTCCTCTGCTGCCCAAGCGCTATGGTGCAGGGATAGCTGCCGTCTTCAGTCAAACCAAAGCAGGCTCTACAAAGAGAAGGCTGGCTCTAGACAGGTGGTATATACCCGATAGTATAGTAACTGGCCAACTGCTTCTTGTGCTTATACTTTTTTTGACTTTTCTTTTGATTGTGCCTTTTGACCGTTATATGTTTAAAACCTGATCATTGAAGTTCTGAAAAGTGTGGGTTTTTTAATGTTACGTTTCTATAACTGTTCAAGTGATGTATTTTTAAATGATAAAGCAAATTAAGGTGAGATTTAAGTCTTAAAGAGGTGAATTAGCACAACAAAAACTGAAAGCTCAAACTGTAAACTAGTTAATAGAAAACATGTGTAACAAACTTCCCAGTGCCAGATTTTGCAGTACCATTGCACGGACTACTTCAATGTGAGTAATGAACTGCTCAGGTACCAGTTTTCTACCTGTGAAAGGAGGGGCAGGTGAGGAGGAGGGAAGAAATTGCCTCAATTGAGAAATGGTTCAGATGTTGAAATAACGTATTTGCAGGGCTTTATGCTTATTGCTTCCAGTACCTGGTGGATATCCAGTATAATTGTTTTTTTGAAATGTGCCTTTTTACAACATTACCTTTTCCTTAAAATATTGTGACAAGGATTCATTTCCTCCTGTGTCTGATTCTGAGCCCACAGGGAAGACATGCAGAGGCCAGCCATGGAAGCAGGCATGTTTTTCAATTTGGCAAATTAGAAAAAAGGCTGTGTGACTTCCAGATGTTTGAAGCACCGCTTTCCTTTATCGCTTCTTTTGCCAAAAAGGTTTGTGCTCTCTTTGTAGTGGGACAAGAAAAGTAGGTTTTGAAGCTCCTTTCTCCCCCAGAAGCGAGCTGATGTTTCGCTTTGCTTCTCTGGGTTGCTCTTTGTGTCGGTGAGAAAAAGTAAGACAACTGGGGCAGGTGGGAGATGGATGGTCCTGGGGTTCAAGTTCCTTTTGTCCTGTTTAAACTGGTTACAGGTGTCTGGACTGTGGTCTCTTGGTTGGATGTCGTGGGGGTTAGTGAATCCTTGTATACTGGGTACCCACGTGGTTAATTACCGCTTTTGGAAAGATAATTATTTTGAGGACTTTCTCTTGTGTCTGGTTTTAGCTTTTGCCCACCTGATACTTTGCTTGACATACGTGCTCAAAAATCTAGACCTTTTTAAGCACATCAGCTGACAGATTGAGAGGAAGTTACTTTGTGTAATGTAAGGTTTAGAAGAATAATGCTTAACTGTACTGACTGGAATATATGTAATATTTTACAGTTTTCTCATTCTGTGAATATTCATTTTAAGCAACCTTACTGAAATGGGACAATTTGGAAATGGTATTTCGTGTGCCAAAGAGAGGAGATCTGCCTGAATGTTGAATGTTCTCCTGAATCGATGTTCCCAAACATGCTGATTTCTTCTGTGGCTGCTTTTTGCATCAAAAAGAGTTCTGTCCTGGATGGAGAATCACGCTTCTGGAGGAAAAGAGACCTATTAGATCTCCAGCGGGAGCTGACGCGCACTGAAGCGGATCGGATATCATGGGAGAGCTACTGCAGGACCCGCAGCTTTTCAAATCGTCTGGGTTCAGCCCTATTGCAGAGAGACCTGTGAACCTAAAAGCCTATAACTGAGTACTTTAGGTTATATTGTCTGTTAAATTGTCTGTTGCATGAGAGCAGGCCAGTAGACATCCAGAAGGAAAAGCAAAGTGAAATTGGTTCTCTTTTCACAACTGAATTTTCAGCAGCCAGTCAGACAATCAGTCTTAATTTCTGTCACACATCCCTCCCCTTGAGGGACTTTAATTTTTTTTTTTTTTGTAGTAAGATGATTCAACTTTTCTTTAGATTTTTACAGGAGTATAATGTTGAAGGCTAGTAACTGAATGCAGAAATAGTCCTTGTAGAAGTAAAAACAAAAACCCAGAGAACACCCAACAGCTCTGCAGCGCTCTGCAACTTTGATGATAATCCTGTCTTTCAGGAATTACATGAACGACAGCCTGAGAACAGATGTCTTTGTCAGATTCCAGCCAGAAAGCATTGCCTGTGCGTGTATTTACCTCGCAGCCAGGACGCTGGAGGTGAGCGTGCACTTCCATTCCTTTCAAGTTCGTTAGGGCTTTAAATACAAGCAGAAAACTGAGCGTGTCTTCCCCTCCCTTTCAGATTCCACTTCCTAATCGCCCGCACTGGTTTTTACTCTTTGGAGCGACAGAGGAAGAAATTCAAGAAATCTGCTTAAAGATTTTGCAGCTTTATACTCGGAAAAAGGTTTGCTGCTTTTTCGTATCGTGTGCCTTTGTTAAAGGCTGTGCTTGGAACGTGAGTTGGGGAAAACCTTATCCCATTTGAAACCACCTGCAAGTGGAACACGATGGCAGGGGCAGTGTCTGGGTGTTTGTAGATCCCCTGCTCTGTGAGTGAGTCGAAAGTCCTGTTCACTTAAGTTCTGTCCTAAGCAGTGCTCCTGTGTTCACAGGTTGATTTATCTGATCTGGAAAGTAAAGTAGAAAAGAAGAAATTAGCTATCGAAGAGGCAAAAGCACAAGCTAAAGGTCTAGTACCTGAGGGAGCCCCAAGTTTGGATAACACATCGGGTTTTTCCCCTATCCCGAAAAATGGCAAGTAGCGAATAACTTGTTTTTAATTGCTCTTTCTCATCTTAAATGTATATTTACTGTTTTGGGATACATATACGATGTGGTTTTGGTTTGGTTGGGGTTGTTTTTGTTTTGGAGTTGGCTTCTAGCAACCATTCAAATGGCAGAGTTTGAATAGCATTGTAACTTTGGAATTTCTTGAAACAGATAAAGACTAAAATCAAATTAGTATAAAATTAAAGCTAGTTTAAACTTAGACAGTACAGGGACTTGCTTTTATGTGGTTTTGGCACTAAAGTTGAACAAATACTTGGAATTGGCATGTTATGCTAAAACAGTATTAAAGCAGAGAGGTATAATTAAGAACTCTGGTGGGAGCAGGATTTTTGAGTGATGGGTGGGGCATATTTTCCTACATACTTGGCTGAAACTTTCCAATTTGATGCATGTCTTACCTGGAAGATAACATTTACCATCATCTTCCTCAGTTTACCTTTAAAAAAACTAGCAAATAATTGGCAAGAGAAGGAAGTTGCTGTTCTGCGTTCTTGAAGTGACTTCGAAAGTGATGTTTTACTGTCGCACTTAACTCCCTGCTGTTACTTCAGTCTTTTGGCAGAAAGTTTCAGATTAAGTTCTGCCTTCCGTCAGCTTTTTCAGGTCATCTTTCCGTGGGTGGTTGTGCGTGTGTGGGTACACATAGGTGCAAACTCCGTGTATACGGTGCTGATGATGACAAAGACAATGAGATGGGGTGAGGGGAGGCTTCAGTCCTTTCGGTCACCTTTCAAAATAAGGTAACAAAGACTTGTTTTCCTAGAGTCTCCAAAAGAAGTTAAAGGAAATAAACCTTCACCGCTACCTGTTCAGGCAATGAAGAATGCTAAAAGGAAAGTAGAGGGAGCAAAACGAACGAGTTCTAACAGCCCAGTAAATGGGTAAGGCTTTCAAAATGAAGGGTGTTGTGGTGGTTTTTTTTTTCCCCATGGCTACGTTAAACAAAACTCACTGTTTATTGCCTCTTGCAGTGTTCAGAAAGGAAGAGAAAGTAGAAGTCGAAGTGGAAGTCGAGATCAAAGTTATTCAAGATCACCATCCAGATCTGCATCCCCTAAGCACAGGTACGTGCTACTGGGTTAAAGTCCAGAAAAGCTGCAGCCGAGAGTTGTGCAGTTTTGGCTCAAAGGTCAGAGCACGCTGAGACACTTTTGAATGTCAGCCTGTGTGTTGGTTGACGTACAGGGCACTAAGCAGCAGGGTTGGTTGGTTTGAAGTTCAGCTGATAACCCTGATACCCATAGAGGGGATATCAAAGAGACAGAAAAAATATTAACTCCAGACTTGGGTGTTTTGGTGACAGTATTACTGTAACTGAAACAGGACAAGTGGTTGTACCTTTTTTCTTCTTGTTGGCAGCACGTTGAATCTGGCAACTGCTCTTACCTATTCAGTCATGTCTTCTAAGCAGTACAGGAAAAAAAAAACCGTAAACCTGAAGCATGACTACTATAGTCCAAATGGATATGAGCTTCTAAAAATCAGTATTTCTACAGTAAATGGGTGTGATCAACTCTAGGACAGGAGATCAGGTTTTTACGGGATACTGAACAACAGAATCCTGGATGAAGTGCCTGGTCTCCAACTACACTTGCACACCATGGCTCTATACGTGAGAAGCATTTGTCTCTGCTACTCAAAGTGTGTATGTGTATGCATTGGGACTACATTTAGGCGCTAATAGTGACGTAGAGTAATCCTATTTAATAGTAAGAAAATCATACATTTTCTTTCCTGTTTGTTTTCCCATAGGAAAAGTGAGAGTTACTCCACATCCAGCGGTTCCAAGTCCCACAGCCGGTCTAGGAGCCGCAGCGACTCTCCCCCAAGACAGTTCAACCACAGTTCGAGCTACAAAGGTTCCAAGGTGAGAAGTTACAAGAAATCGAAAGACTACAAATACTCGACACACAAACCACGGAAATCGCGCAGCAGGAGTTCGTCCCGTTCCAGGAGCCGATCCCGGGAGCGCTCCGACCATTCGGGGAAGTACAAGAAGAAGAGTCACTACTATAGAAATCACAGGCACGAGCGTTCGCGCTCCTATGAGCGAGCAAGTCATCGCTATGACCGAGACCATCCCGGCCACAGTAGGCACAGGCGGTGAATAAAGCAAAAAGTTCTTTCCTTTGGAATGTAAGCAGGAGCTCTTCCCCATTTGGGCTTGGCAGTATAGGGTTAACCTGGCTTGTAAACCACCTAGCTTGAGTAATGTCCATTCTGCTGGCAATTCTGTATTTGCTCTCACAAATCCGAAGGACAGACGTGAACGGGACGGGATGATGTGAAAGACTTTAAGCTGATAAATGTCTCAGTGACTGTTCTGACGTGGTAACGCTGCAGAACTTGTCTCTGGGTGCTCCTATGCCTGTTCTTTAGTGAATTGCGTTCCCTAGTGCAGTGGAGTGTTTTTTGGGACTTCCAGTTCTGCAAGCAGGACCCCCATTGCTCAGTAGTGGGAATACTGTGCTGCCCAGTCCTTCCCTGTGGAACTAGAAGGCTCCAGACAGTTGGTAAAACCCCTCGGAGTGGCTCGGTGCTAACAAAGCTGTCTTTTCATACTGACTCAATTATGTTGTACAAATGCAAGGTGACTTTTTTTTTTTTTTTTTAGAACTGTTGCCTATATTAGGTTATATATGTGTATATATATTTTGCAGTGTTACAGTACAGTATGGGAAAACGGCCTTACTAGCCTTTACACTTTGTCCACAATGTAAATAAGCATTTGTTTAATACAGGTGGAAGATATATACAGAAAATTCAAAACTTGAATTCTATCGAAAGACTTGTGTAGAAAGTTCTGATAAATGTGAAAGTATTTAGCTCTGTGTATCGAGAGTAGTATATTTTTATCTGTGCAATGCTGCGTGCAGGCCACCAGCTCCTAAGACGTTTCCTATGTATACATTTTAAGTGGTTTGAAGTTCTTTACTCAGGATCTTTGACACTCTGAAGAGTTGGTAGTTTGTCAATCTGCATGCTTGTTGAAGAACAGAGCGTTTAAAAAAAACCACAACCAAACAACAGAACCCAGTTAGCAAAATCCCTACAGCCCAGTAGTATCAGTTCTAGTGGTATATCTGAGCTGTTACTCTGATGCTCCCTAATTTCATTAAAGTGTTTGATTTTCTATTAAATTTATTTGAAAGTAGTTTCTTATGAGCTATACCACTGTGCCTACTCATAAGGAAAGCAATTTGGTGCCAAAAGAAGAGATTCTCAAATTGTAGTACATTTAAGGCTAGCTTAAGTTGCTACACCTTGAGTATAGGTGTAGTAGATGCCATGCTGGGCCCATGCTGGAGGAGCAGACCAGTTAACTGTGTGAAATAGGGTCCCATTAATGTGAGCCTTTCAGGCTCTTCAGTAATCTTACTCACTGCCTGCTGGTTAAACTTCTTCTCTCGGCTCCGGGGGAAGCAAGATCGTGAGGTTTTTTTGTGGTCGGTCTTGTAGGTGCCTCAGTGTGACGGCATCTCTTCTGACACTTTGTTTAAATCCAAGCCCATCTCATGGCGATTTTCTTCATTTTTCATATGGAGGCAAGGCAGCTGAAAGGATTTGCAGTCAGCCTGCCTTTAGCCAGGGATTATTCTGTGTAACTACCGGTGGATGTGTTTGCGAGCTTGGCTAATCTTTCTTTGAACCAAGGGATGCTTTTGACCTCTGCAGCTCCCTCCGACGTTCTGATCTTTTTTACTGCTTTACACAACTGGGTTACATGTTTGAACTGCAGCATTACTGGAGGGTTTCAGTGGGTGCCCACATTTCTTGTGCAGGGAGAAAACTAGTTACGTATACCTGGCCACCTTGCAGTAGCAGTCGGTAGTTTGTAGTTGTTCACCGCAGTTCTGATTACATCTCTGCTGGGAAAAGATAACTGAGGTAGGCAGCAGGTACAAGGAAACATCCTTTTTGCTTCTCGGAGCACTGCTATGGAATGTAAATTAATTTGGTCCTGAATCAGCAAATGATCTGCCTTAACTTGGCCTTTGCACACAGATGAAAACTAATTACTTCGTACTTGGAATGCTAAAAAGTTGAGTTGAAGTCCCAAGTATTAAAGTAGCACAGACAGTGCGATAACCAGAAGTACCTTTGATTCAAGTATGAACAAGCTGAAGAAACAACGTTGTTTAGAGAGCTCTTAAGTCTTTCTCATTCTTGCTACGTGGAGATTACTTGGAGCAGGTTAACATCAAATCCTTGTTTTCTAATTCTGGTTGTAAAAGGTAGTCCGTGTTTCCCAGTTTAATTGCCTCCTTCTGCTCTGGACGGTTCCGGAATTGCCTCTTCTCCAGTTCCTGAGAGAAGCAACGTATGGGGGAGGCAGGTTTCACAGCTGCGACCTCCTCCAGAGAAGTACCTTAAGAGGAATTACCTCAGTTAAGTGTCAGTTCTGTTAGCGACAGATGTGACCTTCCTCTGACACAAGTAGCGTGGACAAGGATAAAGGTAAGACTTGGGCTACGTACGCTTCTCTACATGAACTTGGCATAAATATCAGCATCTGTGTTCTATAAACCGCCGTGTGTATGCACAGTGCTGAATAAATAGTAACTGTTTTTCTACTACACTTGTTAAAATCTGGAGAGGAAAGAACAAGGGAGAAAGCGTGTATGTTTTTATATTAGTTCAGTTCCAGAACTAAAGGGATTATATCACAGGATTAAAAGACGTCCTGTTCTAGGAGGGAACAATCTGTCTTCAGCAAAAAGCCCGATACAGATCGTTGCACAGACTGTCTTGGCAGCGAGGTGGGTTTGGAGAAGATGCTTCGAGTAGCTGGAGGAAGTGTGAGAGAGAACTGTTGAAACACAGGAGCTGATTCACAGGGTGGGAGTAGCTGCACCTCTGTCGAATCGAGGCGTGCCTCTCGCCTCTCCCTGGCAGTATGGGCAGGCAAATGCATTGTTCTGCTTTGCTCAGGAAGCCGAGGATTAATATTGCATGTGTTTGGTAACCTGAGGGGATTTACAAAGAACTAAGTTTTTCAGCATTTACTGTGCTGAAAAATGTCATTATCTGTCACACTTCATAGAGAGCCATGGCAGGTGGTAGTAACAAAATTCTACACCCTGTTCCTCCCATCGTTCTGCCAACCCAAGCAGCACGTGGAAACAGGCACTTTGAGGGGATTTGGGTTGTGGTTTTGGTTTTTTGGGGTTTTTTTGACAGTAGATCTTTGCCAGGGGCTTTTTATGCCTCAAGGGACTTGTCTTTTAAATATGTCTTTTGTGTATACCCAGCAGTTACCACGTGCTTCAGATACCACCTGAATTTCAGTAACAGCGCTGGTCCTCTTCTCCCGTACAGTAATGAACAAGCTGCGCAGGTAATGGCTGTAGTTGATCTCTGGGAGATCACAGGGTCGTGGTTCCTGAGAATATAACCTCTTGACAAACGGAAAAGAGAAATGCCAGTTCTTGGGGTGTGAAAATTTTTCAAAGCAGGTGGTTTTGATGTGAGGCAGCGCTGGGAACAGTTGAGATGACTCTGGGAGGTGCGTGCTGCTGACAACCAGGCCACAAGTCCCATGAATGGATCCATCTGACTATTTTCTTCTCCTGGCACCAGTTTGCATTTGATCACTTAAATTTTTGCAAGCGCAGTTCCTGTGGTAGATGTCGAGTGAATGTGCTGAGGTACAACACTGCAAACGAGCCTGGGAAACAAAGGAATCGGCCCAGTCTTTGGAGAAAATGTTAAGAAATACCATTGTCGAGTAATTTCTTTGTTCCTCACATGTTCTTAGCACCCTCTTTCAGCCCTACTTTTTGTCTCCACATCTGATTTAGCATCAATTGCTTTTCCCCAGTGTTTCCTACTTAGCTGGAAGCCAACAGGGCTGTGTTTTTTCTCATTAGACAAACATCCCTCACCTTGGCGTCATCTGATGGGGTAGGAATTGCAACTGCTGGTGTCAGGCAGAACTGTGGTGTGTAACGATATGAGACAGGCTGCACCCTGTAGTTTCTTTAACTCCCCCCAGCTACCAGCGCTTGTGACTGTCACAGATTGTACAATCTTTAGAATTTCCTTTCCAACCTGTAGTCCTACTGGGTAAGAAATTGTGAGAGAATCTCAGCTTTCACTTTAAGATGATAGAAAAAAAAAAATTCATTATGGTTACAAAGATGACAGGTCTGAAGTACCGAAAGAGTTCATGGCTTTGTTTTAGGACAGAGTATTTTGTGCGTCTCTTTTTGTGAAGGGTGGGTACTTTTTTCGTGTTTGACTTAGCAGAGTCTGCCCAGACCGAATTCCGCTGCCCTGAAGACTGTGGATTGGTGATTCAAAACCATTTACTTAGAGGGAGTGTGTGCTTTAAACCTTGTTTTGCCCACAGACTATCACTCTAGTAATAATTTGTAGTTCTACAAATACTACAAGTGTCCTGATATTCTGATACGTTCTTGAGTGGGAAAAATGAAAGTGCCAGAGACTTGAAAATAATGGGGGGGGGGGAAAAAGGGCATCTTGCAGCATGTCCTGTACAAAGATAGATCTAAGCCAAGGAGGAGCTGAATGAGTGGATCTCTCTCACGTACAGAAACTGTAAGTAGCCATTATTTAAGAGTATTGCTTCATGCAAAATAGAAATATTTTCTCAATTGTCCTGCCAGGGTTGCCCGGCAACCCTTGTTTTTATTGTCTTTAAATGAGGGTGAGGAATTACTAAGCAAAGCAATTCTGCCTCTGGTGTATCCAGCTCGGGTTGAGTGAAACGGCACAAAAATTTGCCTTATTAGATTGTGGTTACCAGCATGCTGTGATCGGGATTTTACTTGAAGAGTAAGACAAAAGGCAGCCTGGAGGAACTAGCTTCTAGTATGCAGAATTTGGTGAAATCCAAATGGAGCAATAAGAGCTGGAAAGGCGATGATGAGAGCTGAGGAGGGAAGAGATGACTGGGACTGGCCAGATTTACTTCGGGTGCAAATCAATTCCAGCCGGTGCAGAGAATCCTCAGCTGCTGTTTGCCCTCCCCAGAGCTCTGGGGCGTGTTTCTGTTCTGTGCCTTGCTGCGTCTTGTAATTTACCTCTTGTTAGTCTGAAAAATGCCTCCCTGAGGGGACGGGACCTCGCTGGCCCAGGGGAATCTGTCACCAACTCTGCGTGACCTCGAGCTGTGTGACTGGGGTCTGTCCCAGTTCTCCCATCTGTAAAAGCAGAATCGGCATTTTTTAGGGAAACTTTGGAGCTTTGAATAGCATCTGCAGAATTCTGTACCAGTCAATGTTGTGTCTTGTGTATCTAGACCATAGCAGGGATTTTCAATGTGTGTTATTTACTGAGCAAAACATCTCTCTCTAGTTCAGTTGTTTCTTCCCCTTGGAGAACTGCTCTGGATTCCAGACAGCAGATGAGCACCCTGTGCAGGAAGTCGGTGACAGAACTCCCCTCAGCTTACAGGATTTGATCTTTTTTGTTCTACGGGTAAACACAAAAGCTGTTGGCAGAAGAATACCCCAAGTGGCTCAATAAAGAGGATCCAGACTAGCAGAGGAATGCGATGAGGAACACCGGGGGAATTGAAAGCAAACAACGAGATCGAGTTAAAAAGTGACAGTTACAGATTTAACCTGCAGTCAGCAACAATCATGTTTGATCTCAAAGTGCAGTGCCAAGTGCTGAACGGGTGTCCCCAACGTCTCGGGGCAGAAGAGTTGTGCCGTGATGGCATCCACAACCCTCCTGTGCCGCGACGTGGGCCCCCCCCCGCCCAGAGGCTGCCGATCCCCAACTCCCGTGCGCGACATCCCAGCTATGCCTGGCAGCACCAGCGCTCGTACGTGCCGACAGCGAGGACTGAATAAATTACAAGCACAAAGAGGTCGACTAAGCAGTCTTATGCCTGACGGGGATTTTTTTTTTTTATTTTTATTTTTTAATTTAAATTCTCCACAACCAACAAAATGCTCGTCGTTATGCCTGAAGAGAATTGTTCTAAAATGAACACAGCATGCATGGGAAGGAAGATAACGTGGGAAAGAGGGGAGTTAGTCGTGACTTTCTACACAAAGAACAAAAGCGGTGATCAGGAAACCCTGTCACTGGTCACCTTTGCTTTCAGTCAACGCTTTCTGTGTTTAAAGGCCTGAGGTATGAGAAATGACTGCAAGTGT